TGATGATACTCACAGTGATGATATTCCTCAGCAGGGGGAGCCTTCATCTGAAGACGAATCTGAAGGTATTCATGTTCGACGTTCTATGCGAGGCATAGTTCCACAAAGAAAATACTCCACATCCGAATGGATACTTGTTGCCAGCGAGGGGGAGCCAGAGAGCACCGCAGGAACGAGAGAAATAAAGAAAAAGGTGGAGGGGGAGATTTGTAGGTATCTTCCACCTTCTTTCTTGGAAGTTGCCAAGAGACACCTTAACATGGAGGCACCTTCTTGGAAAGAGCTCTCCAACAAATAGGTGTGGGAGAAGATATGGAGATAACTAGGAAGCTTGGATGCAACTTCCTCATGTCTCCAAATCAGTCCTATAAATAGAGTGCTCCATTGTTGTTCATAGTATCAGTTTAGAAAGTGAGAAAAATGTGTGAAGAGTGAAATACACTTAGTGTAGAAGTGTATTGGTGAGGATTGGTTTTTTGTAATAGTTGAGTGTGAGAGTTTGCTCCTCCTATTGTAATTCTGTTCTTGATATTGAATAGAAGAATTTTCCAATCCCAACAACCTCCACTCTTAAGAGCCAATGGATCATTCAAAATCTTGGTGTCATTTCCATACTTTTCCATCCACCAATCTTTCATTTGGGAGATTACCAAAACGAAATCTTGATTAGAGAAGAGAGAATTAGCTGTGATGAAGAGAGGGATGAACCCATCATTGAAGTCGTGAAAAAAAATCCCACTATACCCTCCTAAACTGAATACGAGAGCTGGGGCAGTGTGGTGATATCTGACATTAGGTGTCTTTCCGGTTTTCTTGCATAGGGTCAGACCCTCTCAGTTTTGTAATTTAGTGCGTTGGGGTCGTTGACTCAGATGGCACAAAGATTGTTGGCTCATTGATCTGGCAAATGTCGTATAACACTTCTGATCTATTGCATGTTATTTTACTCTTTCTTTACTCATTCCTAGGCAGATGAACTCGTTCTTTAGATGTGCTTCCTACATTCATTGGACTAAAATATTAATTATTCAGAGCAATATAATGTAATACAGAGTATATATTATATAGGCACAAGATCATGTGAGTCGTGAGAAGTGTGCCAACACTGTGAAATTTAACTAATAGACAAAATAAGGTAACAAATATTGTGAATATATATATATATATATATATATATACACACACACACACACATACAGAAATTCTCTTGTCTAGCAGTTCGGACAGGAGCTGCCGTCTAAACACCGTTGTTTGAGGCGGTTTTTGGTGGAATTTTTTGATGAAATTTTTTGGACCTGTTCCTCATAATTGTAGTTTATACATATCAAATTTAAGATCAAAATTCCATTGGAAAGGCAGTCAAATAATTTGTTGAAGTTAACTGTGTGTTTCTATGTATAATTTGGCGCAGTTAACTTCAACAAATTATTTACCAAGTCATATCAGCCGTAATTAACTATTAATTCGTTACACTTGACTTATAAAAGCTAAATATATAACGTTTACATTATTTCACAATTTTCTGTGTAATAGTACCTTTCTAGTAAACCGCACCCTACCCTATATATAGTAGTATATTATATATCAAATCTTGTATACAGAGTAAATGAGAACTCTTAAACTATACCTTTGATATATGAAATCAAGAGTTAGAATAATAAGGTGTCATTTTAATAATAATTACAAAAATTATCCCATTTGAATTATGAATAATTACAAAAAGGACTCCTTGTCTCCATGTGCTAACTACCAATGCTTCAATAAAATGATATCCATGCAAAAAGGACTCCATGTCTCCATGCTTTTATTAGTACTTCATGATATCCAAATATACAGCTTATGGAGCGTAAAAACTTACATTGAAAAAAAGTCAAAGAAATTAAGAGGCAAGCGAAGAACAACCATGTTAGGTAATTAATGAACGATGAGCATTCATATTACTCATATATTTCAGATTCTTTGCTCATATTTCGGGGATTTTTCATGTAAGTAGGAACGTACATACTTACTTAGAGTATCATGGGCGCGCGTGTTTGAAGTAGTGGAAGGCGTATAAAATAATTGCCTAGAGAGTTGGGTCATCGTTGTGGTATAAACTCTGAAGGTAACAATGAACAAGGAAAAGCAGAGTATTATTATTGCCCTTGCAACCCACGGTGGCAATCTTTATCTCTCTATTATATTTTTCAATACGCTCACGAATAATATTCCTAATTTCATCGGCTTGGATCGTTCCCATGATTCGTTCTTAAATTATTCTTATAAAAAAAAATAATACCTCCGCTAGAAAATTAAAGACTAATCTTTTATTTCTTGAAGTGTGCTCAACATGCGGATATTGGTACTCTCTTTGTTGTCGGCGTAACCCGAGGTGTGTAGTTCTTCATGATTATCACTTCTTGCATACTCATCGGCGTGGTTTAATAATTATTCTGAAGGTAATTAAACTAGGTAGGCATGAAGGGAAAGAAATTAAAACGAGAAATTGTAATACAGTAGTTTAACTAATGATCAAGTTACGACTTCTTGATAGGGGCAGGCATAGATGCTTTATACTACCTCCGTCCCTTAAAATTTTTCCAAGTTTGACCGGCACAGGGATTAATAAAGTAAAAACTGTGTGGTTGATGTTTGTGCAGAGGAGAAAGAATTAACTGGAACCACAAATTCTTTACTTAAAAGGGAAAGTGACAAAGTTAGTGGGATATCCAAAAAAGGAAAGTTGGCAAAGTTTTAAGGGACGGAGGGAGTACAGTACATGTTCCATAAGTCCATAAAGAGATGGTGGTAAATTTTCAAAGTCACCGAAAATCATATAAAACCATTTGACTCCCGTCATTCATCTCAAAGGCTTACGTCACATCTGTTGTCACTGACATTAATGTTGACATCATAGTTTGGTTCTCAAGGTGTGACATCACAACTGACACAATCTTACGCAAGCATGACGTATTGTGTGACTTCATTATGCATGTTACCCATGACTATCAAGGGACATGTCATCTTCTTATTAGCTAACATTTTTTGGATTGAAAAAATTACTATAATATTACTCTAGATTTGCTCCAACTTCTCTAACTTTACACTACTCTGGGTTCCATAACCCATTAGGATGTTTTTAAATTTATTGTGGGGCAAAACATTATAAAGACTCTGAGTCTAAGGGAGTATTTATAAAAACTTTAAAAAAGTTATTTTTAAATTTGGGTTTAAAAAATGTTGAAATGCTCGTTTTTATATGACATCTTCTACTTAAATTAAACATTTAAAATTTAAAAACTAGAAGCAAGTGGAGGCAGGAGCACGGGCAGCAATAAAAGTCAGAGTGAGCAAGTACAAGTATTTTTTTCATATAAATTTTACACATAATATTTTACTCTAAAAATAGAAGCATTTTTTACTGCTTTTTACTTTTTCTATTATACAAAAAATGCTTTTTTTTACTAGACATCATCTTTTACTTTTTCAAAAACATTTTTCAAAGATTACCAATTTTTGCTATCTTTATTCACTATCTAATTAAACCTTTTAAAGTAGAATGAATCGCAAACACACTCTAAAATACATGAGCGACATGGGAGACTTATTTTTATTTAGAGGCTTGTTTTTATGCAGTATTCTAAATTCGGGTTTTCAAAACCAGCCACAGCTCCGAATGGAGAAATATCTTCTTGAAGATCAATCATGCCACAAAACACCTTAATTATAAAAAATACCAAAGAAATTAAATTTCCAATGGTCATCTATTTTTTATTTATTTTTTGCCAAGGGTCATCTATTCTTTATCTGCTTTTCTATGTGGATGATATTATTATCACTGATAATTATCTTTCCTTCATTAGTACTTTTATTTTTCGTTTTGATTGTTTCTTTGCTGTGAAGAATTTAGGTGTTAGAACATATTTTATTTGTGTTCAATTTAATTGTATTTATCGTTGACAATTAGATTTAATGAATGGACTTTTAATTAATAAAGTGGGCTTCATTATGTATTTAGGTGATCATGAGTTTTGAAATCGGAGAAAATTTTGCATCAAATTTCGGCTCAGCTAGCTATCTACTCCCTCCTCTTAAAATTTTGCATCAAAAAACTACCACTTTCCATTTTAATCAATTATTTTGTGGTTTCTGTTATTTCTCTCCTCTGCACAAATCTCAACCACACAATTTTTACTTTATTATTCTCTGTGCCGATCAACTTTGGCAAAGTTTAAAAGGACATAGGTAGTACGACTAGGAATGGACCGGTTCCTGTTCGGGCCCGGTTCTGGCCTGGGCCCAGCCGGGCCTCGGTTCATGAAGGGGAGGCCCGGAACCGGCCCGGGTAACCCCCAGGTCCGGGCCGGGCCTCGGTTCTATTTTTTTTTTTTTGGCTTTTCCTAGTTAACCCCCAACCCTCCCCCTCACCCCAAACCAACCCTAACCACCTCAAATGGCCCAAAATACCCAGCCCAACCCAAAAACTTAAAACAAAATTCAAAAAAAAAAATTGGCCCGGCTCAGGCCCGATTCAGCTGGGCCGGTTCACCTTTTGAAGGGCCCGAGCCCGAACTGACATCCCACCGGGCTGGGTGGCCCGAACCGGCCAACCAACCGGTTCACCGGGCCGGTCCGGGCCCGCACAGTAGCGGGCCGGTCCAGTTCCGGGGCGGTTGGCCCGGCCCGAGTCCACCCCTAAGTACGACTATACTCCCTCTGTAGTCCGTACCAACGAGCCCTTATGGTCTTCTACTCGAAGTTATAGGGCCCCATGACTTTAAATAGAAAGGTGGGCTGATTGCAATGTTTTTGAAGTCAATTTTTCCTTTCGTCACATAAGATATTTATTTAGTACAGAAGGGAATGTGACTTCTGTTCGAAGGCTCGAAGCTTGTCGTAACTTGCAAATTGTTCTGAATAATGTGACTTGTAGAACGCTTGTAATGAATAAAGATTGTCAAAACCCCAAATTAAACTTCGAGACCAACCGCTAAGGTCATAAGAGCAGATCCTGTGGTTGTTGGATGATCAGATCTGAATCATAACAATAAGCTGTATTCTTTTTTATTGGATGAAAGGTAGACAATATGGAAAAGATGAATTCTTATAAATTTTACAGTGAGGCGTATAAGTAGGAATCTATTGCCTTCAGGCATACAAGAGATTTTGTTCCTCTAAAAATAAACCTGCAAGGAACAAAGATTTAATAAAATGCAGATATTGCACAAATGAAGAATAAAGAAAAAATGGCAAGGTATAAATGGATATCTGCATTTTAATTCGATGACTTGTTATTTCTGCTGAGAAAAAATATGAACATGAAAGATAATACATCATGGCCTTGGATGAACATATTTTGTTCTAGGATCCACGATTAGACCCTTTCCACCATTAACTTCCAAATCATGCCTGCAATTATGACAAGCCATGGAAACTAAAACTTAATTTTTTGTTTAATGAAGGGTGACAATCACATCTGAAAGAAAAATGTAATTCCTGATTTTGTCATTTTGGATTCCACAATTTTTTTAAAATAAGATACTAAAGGAATTGAACTGCTTGGGTTGCATAAAAACTTACTGAAACACAAAATCTGGAATTGTGAGCTGTTCACGGGGAACATATCGGAATAGCTGGAGAAGGCGATCAACGTATACAACTTTTTTCCATGCCTGGATTTAATTACACATTACGAGGTTCAGCCTTTCAGCTAAGAAGGAAAATATCCCAGATTCTGAGTATAATTTAGAGAAGCTGGGTTGTTGTTTCTCCGTCGTTTTCTTCTTCCCTTTCTTTTGAAAAGAATAAAAGGTGTACCTCATTATCCACAAGCAGTTGCAATGCGAAAATGGCAGCCTTTAGTCCAAAAGTTGGATGAAGGACATATATTGCCTGAATAGGAGAAACACATGTTATCTTAATATGTAACCCCAGGTTTCACAAGGTGGGAAAGGAGAAGGCGAGAAGGCATACGTGAAGGTTGCGTTGGTGTTTCCGTCCCAATATTTGTTGTAATCTCTTCATATATCCCAGATCTGGTTGCCTGATGATCACAGCAAATGATAAAGGAATACAAACAAATGAGTTCTAGTAACTACATAAAAACTAATCTTTTCACTGATTTGGTTTCGAGCCAATTCTTTAAAAATTTCCAGTTTAGTCATTGATTTCAAATTTGATAAAAAATCCAGTTTTGGTCAAAATTAAGCCTCACCACCACATTATTTGGGCAATCTATTCACCATTGTGTTCAAATGTATTTTAGATATCCAAATACTTAAGATCATGTATTGCCTGATTTAATGAGTAAAGAAAATTAAAAAGCAGTCACTAGTCAGCTATGGGCCTTATCATTGCTATGGCGGTGAATCAATCAAAGTAAGAAATTAAATGAATCCTCAAAATCTTAACCAAAACAAAGCAAAACTTTTAGTCGTTTAGAGGGACAAACACTTTCCGATATTACTATAAACATAAGAGACAAGCTGTAGGAGCATCACTTTATATATTCAATCATAATATAACTCCATAAATTAGAAAACAATGTGTTTCACCAGTTTGATGCTTCTAATGGTTTCCCAATTGGATAAAGACAGATACAGTAGAACACATGTTGGGGCTAGCGATGAGTAAACCTGAGCTAACCACATGTGATAAAGACATACAAAGGAGGGACCATAGAGCACTCACGTCTGTAATGAAGCTGCAGAATGAAAGTAAACAATAGTATAAGGCTTCTGAATCAATGGCTCAAACTCCTGAAAAGAAAATATTATATAAGGATATCTGTTATAATAAAAAATGACCGACATAAAGACATTATAAACCACTGGAAGTAAAGATGGCCCGATAGCTAGCTTAAATTACGTGCCTTTACAGCATGAAGAATAAACCTATCTAGATCAAGACATCTTAGGAGAAAATGTGCTCCTACAATCACCATAACTGGGCGGCCTTCACTGTCGACACCACCCCGGTAACTGAAACACGATAACATGTGGACTTTTAGAACATAAAAAGAAGATCATGCCACATCATTGGCTATCACAGTATCAAAAGCATCGACATTTTAGTACACAGAGAAAGAGAAGGGTGATAATGCATCTAAAGAAATAGTTGCTTACATGATCTTCATTTCTGTAATATCTAACAGATTCAATGAATTTGCTTTAGCAAGATATCTGGAATGAAGAGAATATTCTTCAGCAGCTGATAATTGGGGCCCACCAAGGTTACCATATCCAAGCATTTTGAAGCAATTCCATCGGTTTTGCTCTTCAGTGGTTTTTTCCCACTGTTCTTTCCTGCGCTGGTCGGGGTCCTTGATAAGGGACATAAAAGCAGGATCCAGATATGAGTCCAAATGGGAAGAGCTCCTGTGCAAAAGTTGTTCAGGTAAGTTTCATTTGACATAATATGAAACTACAAGTTGTTAGACAAGTTGAGAGGTGAGGAGATGAGGCATGGAGAAGAGATAGAGGAAGATTAGAGGGGTCAGGAATGATATGGTATTTTTGAGTTGGATGAGAGTATGACTTTGGAGAGAGCGAAGTAGAGGGAGAATATGCAGAGGATTAATATCATTTTATCTTTCTTATCTTATTTATTATCTTTTTATCTTATCTTTTTATCTTTATCTTATCTATTTTTATCTTATCTTATATTATCTGTTTCTCTTTTTTATCTTTTTAGCTCTGATTTCGTATATTGATTCATGTTAGCGGACCTCAAACTCTTTAGGGACTTAGGATAGGATGTTGTTGTTGTTGTTTGTTGGTTTTGCTGCCATACTCTCATTCAAACGTAAAAGCTATAAAAAGTAAATGTCAGGATACACAATGGTATAAGGCTTCAATAATGATGGTTTCCTTATTAAAAAAATATCTTCTAACAATATTTCCATTGTGTAGGGTACAAACTAGATGTAACAATTACAATCACTGACCGTCTTGTTAATCCAACATCAGTGACAGGGATATCAGCAATGGGTTGTGGTCCTCTTGGAACAGACTTTTTTGTCTTAGGTAGCGGCTTTATTCTGATTTTACGTTCGTCTATAACTGTTTCACCATTCTCATCCCCAACATCTGCAGGAAGTTTTGTAATGGCAATATCCTCTTCCTGCTTATCACGAGGAAAGTAGAGTGGAAGCAATCTGTGAATACATCAAACAACTTTAAAATTAGTAATGTGCAGGGTAATGTACTCGTTAAACTATACATCATGAAACAACACTATACATCATGAAACAACACTACATCAATTTAATAGTGTTCAGGATACCTCTTATATATCTCTGTGTCAGATGAAGTTGTTGTACAAAACACTACTGCATTTATCTTATCCTTCTGTTTCTCAAGAAACCTCCGAACAGTTCCTAGTCCAAAATAAGACAAAAAATGTTGCAGTTGAAAAAAGGAAACAATGTGAACTAAGGAATTAGCAAACACTTAATAGCTGAAAAATGTCCCTATGCATTAACTATAGCCCATGGCACATAAATGATAGTGTTCTCACTTATTGCCACATGAGCAGCTGGCTCTCGTGGATAATTCTTGTTTTCTGTATAAATACAGCCCATTGCAATACTGCATCAACATGTCAAAAGGTGACCGGTAGCAATGTTAAACAAGTTGAAACTAAAGATCAGAAAAGCAGTTCACTACGTAATTGACGGGGAAATGTTTAATTAAACAACCTTTGAAGGCCATTCTCAATCAGGAGTTCAAGGCAAGAGCGATAGCAATGACTTAGGGCATTTTCTGCTGCTGTATGATATTTGACAGCATATTTAGGACCAACTGTGTGTATAACCCTTCTGCAAGAAAGAAATGTAATTATTGAACCGGTGTGGATTGAAATTGCATTTTCCACATCAAGAATAAAAAATGGGATATTTACAATGTTCATACTTAGGAGTCATCAGGACCATTCACATTCCTTGACATATTAAATAATGTATTGAAAAAGAAGTTACTTGCGGATGAATGAAAGAGCTCAATAAAGAAATGGCATATGGCGCAGTGATGATGTTATGGAGACCAGCATGGATGACCCAAGTATATACTCAACGTGAGTGTGAACATAGTACGGAAGTGCCACTATGAGCCCTACAAAAGTTCTAATCTCTAAGCATAAGAGCGTTCACTACTTAATCTCTCAATGTAACGGTGGAAAGCCGTACAAGCCCATCATCCACTAAGATAGTGCTGAAGAATATTTGTCATCTCACTTTGCTGATACGTTCACTATGTTCGATGGTTCAGATTTGTACTCCTACATGTCTAACAGATTGCTACTATAGGCATGGAACTTTTATCAGTAACAATGTAGCGAAATAATCTGTTTGTACACGCCATTTTACACATTTTCTATACACGCCCCCTAGCTGTTTGTGTACACGGACAATTCATAAAAAATGCAGTTTTTTTAACAGTACGAAATTGTCCGTGTGGGCGTGTAAAAACCAGCATGTACACGCCTGGCGTGTACACGAAGAACGACCCTAATGTAGCAGCAGAATGATCTTCTACATGTTGAAACATATGTGATGATATTCATCTACCTAATCTTGTCCGGGGATCTTTACATTTTGGTATTTGTTGTTTTACTATGGAGTATATTTTTTTCTAAGGTCGTAATGTATATAATAATCGTCATTGTTTTGTTGCATTAGGAAAAAAATGTATGCACTCAAATTCAAATTGACAGAAAAAGTGAAAAATATGCTTGACGTACATAAATAGGATGATACAGTAACTTAAATTTAACTCCAAAGAATTTCTCAACATTGAGAAATTGAGTAAATAAATATAATCTTTGGGAAGCTTCTAGAAAATTAATAACTACCCACCTAGCTGGAAGATCATATGCTTTAGTGACTTTTGCCATTCCTGTTCTGCAGCCACCCTGTGAAGGAAAATTAAACTGTCATTCAACCTTGCAAACCGTTAAATGTCAATAATCTAAAAAAAGAGATGGCTAAATTTGACATTAACCTCTTTCACATGTCAAGAATGCTGAACAGGATCATAAGACTCCAAGAAATTCCAAATGTACCCTTCCAAAATTAATTATTCCCTCCGCCCCATGAAAATAGTCAATGTTTGACTTTTAGGCTCAATGAGTTGAATTGTTTTATTTGATATATTATTGCAAATTTATAAAACTTGTACTTGTATAAGAGTAATACTCACAAAGAACATTTTTATATTATTTTCATATTATATGTAGTCATTTTGAAGAGAAAATATTATTGGTCGAATTCCATCATCTTTCAATTTCATTTATCTATTCATGTTAGCCAATCCCAAATTCTTTTGGGATTAAGGCTCGGTTGTTGTTGGTCGAATTCCACCATCTTTGACAGACATCTTTGTGGGGTGGAGGGAGTAATAGGGGCTTGTGGAGTTGTGGAAGCATATGTTTGACAGTTTACCAGTGTTGCACATTCTTCTGCAAGATCAGGTCCAGCTGCAGCATGTAGACCAGGGCTGCTGTGAGCTTCATCTAAGTTCTGTTCACAAAACAATGGAAACATGGCTTTCAAGTTAACTTGAATTCATATTTATATTCTACTGTGGACTACCATATTTAGGGAGCAACAAAAAGATTTACTTGCCCGTAGAAAATGTGGAGAACCCTAAATGAACATTCAAGTCATTGATAAATAGTAACAGTGGATAAATTTATTCATGGTTGCTCACCTCATTGGTTGAGTTAACTACAGCATCCACTTCAAGATACCAAGGGTCCCCTCTCCACAAATAGATCTTCGAATTAACATCACGATCCACTGGAAACTTGGAAAGAGCTCCATTTCCATTATTCTCAGCCCCAGAAGCAGAGGCCAAAGGATCTGGGAAATATGAATTAGGAAACGCAGGGTCTTCGTTCTCGTACAAGTACCTATGCTCTGCGTCAATCCACCGGGGAACTTGATCGAGCGTCACCACCGAATCTACACTATCAGTAGGCACTCCGCCACGAATGGTCGTTGCAGCCCCAGGCCGATACATACCTCTTCTACTCTTTCCGAACGCAATCAATAGTCTTATTTTAATAAGGAATGTGCATGAAACGCCTCAATGTCTTAGTTTTAAATGAAAACAATCCAGCAGACATCGACTTTACATCCAAAGCTGTACAGGGACAATGATGTGATGTGAATCAATCCAAGCCAAACTGAAAATGCAATTAAACCCTAAGTAAAAGTGTCGGAAATGATTCTAAATCAGGAGGCTCCGTGAAAATGGAATCGGTCATGTATCGAGATTATACGGATTCAGATACAAACTGTAATTCAGGCTCGCAAGGAGATTGAGCTGGGATAAAGGTGAAGAAGATGATTGTCAATCGAAACTGGGTTGGTAAATTGAGAAATAATCTATTTTGTGTTTATCAATAATAATTTCGCCTGCCAAAAAAAATAATAATTTCCATTCGTACTACTCCGTATAACTATTACATTATTTTTTTTTCTTTTTTTGTGGGGATATTACATTTATCACTCATTGTTTTTATTTTACGGAGTATTTTATTGAGTAGGCATTCGAGTTATCTATTCCAGTACCATATTTGATTTGTCTGATTCGAATATTCGGGAAATAAATAGTGTTTGACAATCTGGACTAAAAATTATTGATTATTATAGTATTAGATTTTTTAATTATTTATTTACTTTGCAACTCATTAATATTTACGGAGTAATTAAGAAGTTGTCCCCTCGTCTAAAAAACTAGTGTCCTTACACCTGTCAGCATTAATGAATTAATGAATGTAATGTAAAAAGAAGCTACGGTTTCAAAAATGCTATAGTTAACCCAATTACTACCTTATTTATACGTCATATAAAAAACCTCTCTCATTTTTACCTCACTCCCTTTTCCATTTCAAAATTTTACCCCCACCTCTTCTCTTCTTTCCAAAACTCCAACCCCCTGTTTCCTGCTAGTACCCTGCGACTTTGAACCACCCAAAATCGAACAGCCTAGAACCGAGCATCCTCGAGACAACACCGGTCAACACCTCCTCTTGTCTCAACCTCCCCTTGTCTCACCCTCTCCTCTTTCACTTTTTTTTCGTTTCGAACAGAGAGCTACAGTGCTAGGATGAAAGGAGGTCATCCTTGGGACACCATTTGCAAGCCTCTTCAATGGAGTTTTTTTTCCATTATGAACAATCACAATTTCAGTAAAAACACAGTTTTTTTCAAATTGAACGAGATTGAAGTTGTTTATGATATTTTTAAAATCATTAATCGAAATTAAATATAATAAAATTAGAGTACTACAAATAAAAATAGCTCTCTAAATATTAATGATTATAATAAATATTATCCTAATGTGCAAATTGAAATTTTTTATATTAGGATGTTTTTACTTGGACTGTAAATCCTCCCAAACCAGACCAGACCAGTTCAGACTTGGATAGTTGTAAAAATACAAAGAAACCAGATCAGACCAGAACAGAACAACAAATTATAATTCAAGTAAAAACATCATCATCAAAAAAAAAGTTATGTAATATGATACGGAGTATATTTTTTATATTGGTGATGATTTTTTTTGAAAAGAAGAGGTTTTGACATTTTATAAAAAACTATTGATATATAGTCAAAATTTGAAATTTAGATTAAAATCCAACAAGCATCACTACAAGACTACACGAGTGATGATTCTATCTACGGAGTGTAAAGGGCAAATAAGTCTTACGAGGGTTACATTTAGTAGAAAGAAAGGTGCGCCGTGCGCCTAGCAATCCCCTTAATATTTACGGAGTAATTAAGAAGTTGTCCCCTCATCTAAAAAACTAGTGTCCTTACACCTGTCAGCATTAATGAATGTAATGTAAGAAGAAGCTACGGTTTCAAAAATGCTATAGTTAACCCAATTACTACCTTATTTATACGTCATATAAAAAACCTCTCATTTTTACCTCACTCCCTTCTCCATTTCAAAATTTTACCCCCACCTCTTCTCTTCCTTCCAAAACTCCAGCCCCCCTGCTTCCTGCTAATACCCTGCGACTTTGAACCACCCAAAATCGAACAGCCTAGAACCGAGCATCCTCGAGACAACACCGGCCAACACATCCTCTTGTCTCAACCTCCCCTTGTCTCACCCTCTCCTCTTTCACTTTTTTCGTTTCGAACGGAGAGCTACAGTGCTATGATGAAAGGAGGTCATCCTTGGGACACCATTTTCAAGGCTCTTCAATGGAGTTGAGATACAGGCCCCTGCAGTACGCCTTTTCCTTCGCTGCCACTCTTGTCTGCACATTTCCCTCTCAGTATGTCTTTTTCTCCCTTTTTTCATCTTTCTTCATTTTTTTATTTATTTTTTATTTCATGTGTAATACTCTATATATCTTGTAATGTTGGATGGTTGAATATTGTGTGGCGTTATTGTGATGGATTTGTGATGTTTATTCTTAAAATTTTAGTCTAACTATTCTTTCATTAATATGCCCATAACATGTTTGTTGAAATGCTTCAATGAATTTTTTGTTTGTGTCCTCTTATGTTTTCAGGAATGCGATGTCAAGGAAATGCGGTTGCCGCTGAAGTGAATGCAATGTCAAGGAAATGCATTTGGCTTCTCATAGGCAATGCAATTGGGGCTCGTATTTGAGCAGACCATCACCGAACAGTTAGCCTTTGAGAAGTGTATCCTTAGTTGGAATTAACCCTATCTGGAGTGTTCGGTTGTATTCATCATCTGTGGGCAGTCAAGGGACTCCTCTTGTTGACTCAGATTCTACCATTTCTGGAGTCAGTATGGGTTCAGGTTGAAAAGGCAAGGGAGGCTTCTACTGACTTAACCCCTTACATTTAGTAAATTGTTGATGCAAATCCTTACCTGAGAGATGTTATTGCTCCTGTTAGTGGCACTTTGGTGTGTACTTTACTGGCTTGGTTGGTAATGTCGAGGTTTCTGAGGAGGTTTCACAAGATCTCAACAAAGGGACCTGCTACCTTGTTCTTTGAGACCTCACTATTGAAACCTATACCTTATGAAAACCTCTGTTTGTGTATAAGATTTTGAAAGCCTCTGTTTGTGTGTAAGATTTTGATCAATAGCTTGTTTATTCATATACTGATCATGCATATTGGTTATGGAATTTCATTTCCCTTTCTTTTGGTTTGTTGTATCTTAGGAGGATAAGTTCCCATTTTTATTTTTTTACTCTCATATCTTTAACTGTTACTTGGTATTTATATCATATCAGGTGGCAATGACGTCAAAAAGATATTTACCCATTCATATTATTATTCAGAGCACGTGTGTGATACAAAGAACATATGTGAGGTAGACAAGAAATGTCTGGGCCAGACAAATTTTGTTTGACTGAACTCCAGAAAGTAGTTACTTGGCCGAGACTACTAATGTCTGGCCCAGACAACTTTTGTCTGGCCGTAAGACGGAAAGTAATACATACACCCAGACTACAAATGTCTGGGACAAACAAATTTTGTCTGGTTGTACTCCGCAAAGTAGTTACTTGGCCCAGACTACTAATGTCTCGCTGTAAGACACAAAAGTAATACATACCCCAAATTGCAAATGTTAGAGACAGACAAATTTTGTTTGGCTAGACAGACGCTGCAGTTCTAAATTGAAGCATATAGTGTTGGGGAAATAGAGATAACTAGACAGACATTATTTTTACGCAGAGAGGCAATAACTTTACACAAACAGATAATACAGTGGATACCCAGACATACAAAAAATCAACATACATAAGTGGATAATTGTACATGTAATATTTGCAAAAACTTACACATGTTCAAAAAAACCAATCCAACTTGTAAATAAATTTCTATCTATCAAAGAAATAATTTATACACAAATCAATTTGTATGTCTCCAAACAAAATACCAAAATATCGTGTGATTATCAAGTAAACATGTCATTGGCTATCATATCATGTGATTACCAAAATATCTATCAAAGTTACAACATCCCATACAATATACATTAGTGCACACACAATGTTTTGTAACAATGAATTTAAAATGACATAAAGTCATTGCTAGTACTTAATTATGCTCCTCATTCATCTTTTTCTTCAATAGAGATTCCTATCAATATTTCATGTGATCTTGTGTTCTGCCTTGGAAGTAGACACAGTAATGTGAAAACATTACTTTCAAGGTGTTGTCGCATGATACTTACAATATGTCGCATTATTACCTCATCCTCATCAAGTTGTAAAGAGTTAACAAAAATTAGAATAAATAGTAGAACTATGAATAAGAATATGACTAATACGGTCAACACAGAACTTGATCACTACGCGACATTCACTAACCATTGATTCTCCATCACCCTTGCCAAACCGCAGAGCCAAATCACATATTGCCAATGTTGGTCATTAGAAAAACATTTGTCTTAGTCAAAAACAGGGATCCAGATTCTCTACCCGACTGGCTTTAGCAGTCAAGTAGGGTGAGTGACTTTAATAGCCATTCAATACATTTTTTTGCAGCCATCTCACATTCTCACAACACCCTTCCTCCTTTGTTGTCGTTGATCTGTGCAAGGCACCTCTATGGCAATAATTTTTAGTAATTATAAGCATGTTCAAATATTACATCTTAGAGCCCGTGTGGTAGCACGAAAATCGGCTGTTTTGGCTGATTCTGCTGAAATTTATGAAGTTCTGGCTGAAGTAGCTGCATTGGCTGATTCTGCTGACACAAGAAAAAAATATTTTTAACATATATTTTATTAATAAAATAAAGAAAAAATTATATGTAAAAATAGCTAAAATGATCATCTATAGTAACTTCAGTCAATACAGTCAGAAAAGTAACTCCAACCTTACTTTTTCGGCTTATTACACAATTGAGCACGCGGAAGCAAAATTTACGTGTTTGGTAAAAAAGTTGGTTGATAACCCTGATTAGCCGAAAATGCTTATAATCACTTTAATTACATTTTTGTTCATGAATAGTACTATACTAATTATAGTTATATTTTAGATAAACCCTCTTTAGAAAATAAGGAAATGAAAATGAGATGTTCTAAAATGGAAAATGGTAACTGTATTTTACCGGATTCATCTCCTAAAAACACTTTTGAACTCGATTTGGATTTATATGAGATATGAAGGTTAAAAACCAGAAAACGCGAAGTTGAATTTACTGTTTCTGCGCTATTTTCGACTTTAGATTTGTTTTTTATTGTGGTTCGAATCGGAGTCTGTTTGGTTGTTTACTGGGTCGGAACCTGCTTCTGAACCTATTTCCGACCTTCGATTTGGGTTCAGGGTAATGAACGACAGCTGAACAGGTCAAGTTATTGTTCATTCCCGTCGTCATGGCTACGAAGAACAAACATGTTTCAGGGGAAACTTCCAGGGCAAGGGTTACCAGGTCCAGCTCCAACTTTGCCGTGCTACAGGATTCTGAGGAGGAATTCCCACAGCTGCTGTTCGAAAAAAAGGCAAAGAAAACAAATGCCACTACTGCTGATATACCTGCGGGTATTGAATTACCATTTCCTGGGAATGGTAAGGAGGGTGTAAAGACTGCTCAGCCGACTTCTATTAAAGATATGGCTACTACTGAGCCGATTACAAACGGGAGAGGTACTGATAAGGCAGTAAGTGCTGCTGTAAATGCTGGGAATATTGGTGTTGTAAATGCACCCTTGACTGCCGGGGAATATAGGTGCTGTAATTGCACCCTTGGCAGCCAGTACCACACCCTGGACAGCTTTATTTAAGGATAACCGTGACCCACAACATGGCATTAAACTGACATACATCCCTCCTAAAGGGGAAACCTTGAACTTTGGGGATCGAATCTTACCTTCTATGGTCGAAATGTGGGGCTACTGTCTCGTTGGGCACTTCACTGGTAAATTCCCTGGACTCAAAGCAGTTCATGATATGAAAGCTAAATGGGGAGTGAAATGTTTTGTGAAGTCTCACAATATGGGTTGGATAATTTTTAAATCTCAAAGTGAGGAGGATAGACGAAAGGTACTACTTGAGGGATCATACACTGTTTTTGGGAAACTACTAATGCTCAAAGAAATCTCGGAAGATTTTTCATTTGAGGATGAGGAATTTCTAAAAGTCCCAATTTGGGTTAAGTTTCCTCAACTACCAATGAAATTATGGAACGATGAGGCTATGAGTGAGGTGTCATCCATGTTTGGGGTCCCAATCACTACGGATAAGATCACTCAAGAGTGGATTAACAACGACAATGCTAGAGTGTTGATAGAGGTTGATATCTCAAAGCCACCACCGCTATCTTTTCCTATACGGCTACCTTCCAAAAGATATTCAACAAAGTGTGGTTTATGAAACTCTTCCTAATTGTTGTTTTCATTGCAAAGAATTTGAGCACCACCCTTTTATTTGTAGAAAGATATCCAATGGTGGAGATGGGGAAAGTAGGGAAAAGGAGAAACAAATTGTTGAAGTTGAGCAAATTGAAGAAGATGAGCATTTATCCTGTCCGACAGAAACTGTCCAGGGGCTCCACCCGACCGGGCCAGCTCCTAACCTGACCGGGTTTGTACGAAATGGGACTACAATAGGGCGAAACTCAATCGGATCAACTCCAAACCCGACCGGGTTACAACGGCAGAATGTCTCCCAGGCTTCTGTATCTACTGCTGGGGTGTGTCAGGGATCCAAGGGTCTCCCGAAGTTGTGAGAAACGCATGCAAATGAGGAGTCCGCGGCCATTTTGGAAGACAGAGAGAGGGTAGTTACGGATAAAAATGAGTTCCATCAACATGATGTCGTCATCAAATGTGAGGTGATTAATGGTAAGACACTCAAGTTGGTGGTCAAATCGTTTAGATTTGTGCGAGCTAGTGTGATTCGAGTGGATACCTTCCTTCGACTTACGAACGATTTGGATAAAAAGGGCCTGACTTTCACAGCCAAATGTCTAGAGGATTTACCGGGAGTTACAAAGAAGTCCCATTTGTTTTGACTCTAAGTTCACCACTCCTTTTCGGGCTTTCTTTGGATGTTCAAATTAGGGATACCTAATATTTTGTTGATCAAGTTTTTGTTAGACGGTCTTGATCCTAATGTGTTTGGGTCCAATGATTGGATTTGAGAGTTTGTGAGTCTTGATTTTGTGGTATCCCATGTATCGGGATATGCACTTTGATTGTACACATGATGCATTGTGCTATGCTATTTTTCTGGATATATATATATATATATATATATATATATATATATATATATATTTACATTTTATCCAAAAAAAAAAACAAAGAGTGACGCAATTATGGAAAATAAATCTGTGCATTTTCTGTTTTATGGGGGGTGCAAACTAATTATAAAATTTATGTCTCCAAACTTTGACCATATGTGCATATTGGATCGTAAGGATTTGTAAGCTAATCAAGTAATAAAATCACAAGGTAGTTCATGAAGGGAAGTTGTAAATATGCTTTTATATCTGTCCTCATGCATATTGGCCGAAAAAACTATGCACAAAAAATATGTATCTAGCATTTGCTTTCCTATGTAGACTGGTATTTTAATATTTGTAAGTTGCAAGAAACTAAAATTCATTGTTTTCATTGAGTATTGCACAGATTAATAAGATATAATTAAGCAATTAAGACCATAAGCCCTCATTCAATTGAATAAGTAGGTGATCTTATAGAGTTGTAGCAGATAATGCACATTGGAGAAAGATCCCTTGATTTCCCCCACTTTTTGTATATTCATATCTTTATGTCTTTACATGCTTTGCCCCATTCTTGGAGCTAGGGATTCCCTGCAAATAATGCTGGAAAACATAAAGGTAAAGGTGTGATTATTCTCAAATAATAAAGAAGGAAAACCCTATTTCACAGATGCAATTCTTGATACCTTACGTGCTAGGTCCCAAACGACTGGAGGGAAAAAATGGTATAACTGCTGCTATTAATCAACTACTCCCACCTTCTGCTTCAACGCGGAAATGAAGTTTTCCCTATCTTCGGGTGACATTCCTTGTGTAGAGCAATCACCCACTCCCCACTCAGCCCCACGAAGACAATACTTGTCTTGTATCGCCTGTCGATTTCTGAATCCACCAAAATGGCAAATACATAACTTTTCAAGAACTGACCCTAAATGACTCCACCTAAGTCCTAACTAACCCTGCAGTCCCTGCCCATTGTTCTAAAAACTGGCACTCGCTAACGCACCTAGACCGATTTGCTTATAGGCATGCTATTTAATCTTTGCATTAATCCCCTCTATGCAGCTAATCTACTGAAAATATAGTACATAAAGGCAAACACATAAGAGAAGTGTAGTAACAATTGATGATCTTTATCTCGACTCTCCGTACTCTAACGAGCGTTTCGTTAAAGAATGTGATATCATCTTGGGTTATACGATCACCGCTTGGAAGGTAAATTAAGATTACGGAAAATGTAAAATTACCGTAGGCTATTTGATTTGCGGAATGTGATATTACTCATGTAACTAAGCTGTTAGGGACAAAGTTGAAATGATCTAAAATATTACCAAGTTAATCTTACATATGAAACTCAACGTAATCATATTAGCATTAACATTACATCATTTTTCCTAAATATGCAAAATCTTAGATTAACCCCATAGTAATAAAATCTGGACCGAACAAGGTAATCTAGCATTACATCTTATAACATTGCCAAGGTAATGTGAGATTATGTGAACTAAAAGCCTCTTTAAGTGACTTATCTCACCGGCGTGGTTTTATCTTGGAAGCTTAGTGATGATACATATGAGCAATAAATGTACATTAGAGCATCTTAAGTTCTTAACTCCTAAACATTATAGACAGAAAATATCATAAATAGGCAAGGAAAAAAGGATACTTCTCTTTATTCAGAATGGACTTCTCAATCAACTGTTTAAGCAAGGGAGACTCTTTGAATTTGGTATCTAAATCCGCATACTTTTTCTGATTTCCTTCTGGATTGATTTAAAAAGGAAAAAAATCTCATACAATCACCATAATGTAATAAATAAATAGATAAATAAGCAAATAATAAAGACAAGTCACAACAATTAAAGTCGTACAGTTTCTAAACAACATACCATTCCAGCGATTGAGAAAGTCGATTTGAGGTAATTCTGGACCAGGGATTGATTCTATCCCACCCGAGCCAGACAGTAATCCTGCATTAGCTGTTTCACCCACCAGAGGTTAAAATGGTCATTACTAGTTAGCTTCCATTTATGGTTCTAATCAGGACAATCACTTGTGCTATCCAAGAAAGTTTCTCACTTTTCTGGGTTTTCAAGTGAAAAATGTCTAACCAACAGAAACCTAGCTCATTTTTTGCAAAATATGAAAAATGCTTTATAATGGCTAGATTTAGAGAAAGCAGCACACTTTAGCAGGATTTAGGTTAGGTTTACTTTGGTAGACCTTTATTCATATTCAAATAGGTATAGTTTTAGTGCAAATTTATACATTTCATATTCAAAGTGCGCACTGCCACTCCTGCCAGGTGCCAGGCAGACTCTTAGGATAAGTGAAGGTAAGGGGAAGGGGGCTAATATGAAACCAAGAACAAACTTTTACCAAATTCATTAGGGGTGGGCACGGTCCGGGAGGGTCCAATATTTTGCCCAACCCATAGACGTACTGTGTCTGTTTAAACGGTTGGTTCAGTCTGGTTTTAGACCTAAACCCATTTGGTGTGGTTCCATTTTCAAACGGGACTGTAACATACCATACCAATGTCAAAACAATGTTACTTATTTCAATTGTTTAAAACGAAATTAAAGTTTAATCATACTCCAAAACTCCACATAATTTATCAATTTCCCTACTACATGATTAATCAAATTGAGATAAATTGTAGTAGTGCAACACATAAATCATGAATGATGACATTTAACATAAAAAACTAAACACTAGAACTGCAAACTTGTATTAAGGACTTATAAAAATGATAATTACTGTAGTAGGTTGGGGTCTTGGGGACTTATATTAGATACTCTATAAAGCAAAATAATTATTAAAGTCGAGTAGTTGAGTAATAATTAATAAATCTATAAATGACTCCTTGATAGGGACGCATGTTATATGTGTATCTTGATTCTTGAACCCGTTTGGTAATACCAAAATCGGCTGAATCGGCTAATTCTGCTGAAATTTATGAAATTCTGGTTGTAGCGGCTGATTCAGCTGATTTATTAAAAAATTATATTAAAAATATATTTTATTAATAAAATAAAGAAAAAATTATATGTAAAAATAGATAATCTATGATAACTTCAGCCAATACAACCACAAAAGTAACTCCAACCTTATTTTATTTTTTCTTATTATTATGCAATTCAGCATGCGAAATAAAAAATCAAGTGTTTGGTGAAAAATGGTTGTGGCATGGTTTGGAATAGAAATTTAGAAATCTATTTGAAACCCCCTTTTTCTATTCAGTACCATACCATTCTGTATCATGCGGGTTAGATATTTTTTCACACCCACAAAATTATGACTAAACTACAGCCATACTTGGAAGAATTAGAAGTACAAATTCCGATAATGGTGAAAATGAAGGTGGAAAACTGAAGAGATTGCAAAAAATGATTACCTGAAGGGGAGGATAGCAAAACAGCAAGTGTCGCGCAAACGAAGGATTTGTGAAGGATTAGGTTTTTCTGTGAAGATGGCGATGGTGATTGAGAGAACCAACTGGGAGCATCTAGGCAAGAAGGTGAAAGAACTGGATTCCGACCATTGAAGGCGACCGGGATGCGATTGTGGGTGGAGTGTGTTGCAGGTCCGGTGAGTGGGTTCGGCAAGACCCACGATAGACAGCCCATCCTCACTGCTGCAAGCCTGCAAGAATACGGGGGAAGGCTGTACTCAGTTCATAGAGGAGAGGCTCGCTGGCTTTTGCCTATCGTGGGAGGAGAGAAATCTCTATTTATTACTAGTATCTTTATCTTCTCTTCTCTTCTTTGTTTATCTATTTTAAATGTCACATTTTTTTAATGCAAATAACTTAAATCAGAATTCAGGCAAGTTACTTTAAGACAATTACTAACCCTCGAATTAGACCCGGTCACATTCCAAAAAGTAATTATTCCTCCTCTCTCTTCCTTTAAAACTTTGTCAACTTTTCTTTTTTGGATGTCTCATTAACTTTGGCACTTTCCATTTTAAGTAAAGAATTTGTGGCTACAATCAATTTTCTTTTCTCTGCACAAATCTCTGTCACACAGTTTTTATTTTATTAATTCACGTGGCGGTCAAATTTGAAAAAGTTTTAAGGGACGAAAGGAGTATATAACTTGTTCATTCAAATAATGTCAGAGACAAAAAGATAACTAGATAGAAATAACTGAAGTAAAAAGGTCCTCCAAGAAACAATAGAACGTTAAGACTAAGGGGGTGTTTGGATCTGATTCTCAAAACTGATTCTGCTCCTTCAGGGAGCAGAAGCAGAAGTTGGAGTGTTTGGGTGAAATTCCAGAAGCACTTCTGGTGCTCTAATTTACTCTCAGAATCAGTTTTTTTAGAAGCTGGAGGGTACCAGCTTCTGAAAACTGATTCTGATTCTGCTTCTGCTTTAAAAAAGAAGCAGAATTAGAATCAGTTCCAAACACCCCCTAAGGCTGAATTGAGAGAGACATGTTTGGTACCCAAGACCCACCACCTCCCTCTCTTTTTTTGGATCATCCAGCGTCATTCCTTCTCTTGCTCGATCCTCTCCCATTTGTTCCTCGCATGTACTACTGCTCTTCTGTTCTCTACCTCCAAATTTGCCATTGGAATCCCTCAAGCAAACGTTCGATCCAATTGCCTGAGCCTCTCTCTTCATGCATAAGATGCAAGAACTATCTGACTTGTAGTGTGCAAGTGACCAATGTTAAGAAATTAAAGAAGATGATGCTTTCTGAACCTATCTTATAAGTTCCATCTCCTAACAGTTCTCTGATAAACAATTCACTTCCCAATATTTAGTGATTTTGTTCTTTTCATTAGTTTTCTGATGAAAATATAGTATGATATCCCTTAATGAGTTTTTGGGTATTTTTTTATTTTTGTTTTTAAGGAAAAAATTGTGGGTGTGCCTCACCACATATAAGACACATGAAATTTAGCCTTAGTTAGGGATGGGATCGGTCCGGGCTGGGTCGAGTTTTTGCTCTACCCGGAAATTACCCGAAACTTCTCGGGTTATGAAAAAGTGGAACCAGAAATAAGCCCGACATATTCGGGACGAGCCGGGTTTTTTTAGGCTCAGGTTCGGGTAGGCTCGGTTAAAGCCCAATAAAAATATATCATTGTTTTTATTAAAAAAAATATTCAAAAAAATGTTCGACCTTCACACTTTCTATTATAGCCAAAGCAAATCTATTTAATCAATAATTCAAATGCTATAAAGCAACGATATTTCAATTTCTAGCACAAAAAAGTATTGATCGAAAACACTCATGAAGAGCCAAACATAAATACTAGCAAAATCCCAACAGCAAAACTTTAGACTTAAGAGAACAAAGTTCTAACAAAATGATGTCTCTTTAAGATGGATTCAAAAACAAAGCAAATTAGAAGACACCAAGTGAGTATTTGGACTTGTTTCCATAGAATATCTTAATTTTTTATAATAAATTATAATGAAATATTCGGGCCGGGTTTTGGCCGGTCCGGGCCGGTTTGTAACTTTTAGCTAGGGACCGGATTTGGGCCCGGAATTTCGGGTTCGGTCCGGGTTTTTTTAACCGGCCCGTCAAAAATAAAAAAAAAACGGCCCGGTAACATTTTTCGGTCCGAGCCCGGGTCGGTTTTCGATTTTCGGTTCGGTTTTTCCCACTCCTACTTGTAGCTGGTCTCTTGAGAAATGAGTTTTGTCTAAATCATTTTGTTTTAGCACTTGTGTTTGCTCATATAAGTATTTCCAGAATATCCATGAAATTGAGCTCCCAACAATATATTAAATTTTCAAAATTAGACAAATTATGAATCATTAGTAGACCAGAATTCCATTGGGAGATCATATTGAAACATTTTTCTTGCATTAATATAAAATTGATATTCATCTATTTTCTATGACGTTAACACGTTAGTAACAAACTTTGTAGTTAATAGATTATAATGTGTATTGTTTATCATGATAAATTAAAGTGTGAACTTTTGAAATAAAAATAACTAAATTTTAATTTATGTTCAAACACTACCTCTATCAAATATGAGTATAATTTCCGATATTTTTTTGGTATAGAGCTATTGAGATTTAGTGGAGGCTCCATCTCTAATGTTCTGCTTTTGGCTTTTGATTTTCTTTAAATAATTAAAGCTTTGATTAAATGCTTCATCTACTATTCAGATAATAGCTGTTTGTGATTTGCAGGTAGCTAATTACAAGATTAAGCGGGTGATGGGTATCAACGATGAATATTGTTAGAAAACCGGACCGGCTCAGACCTCAATCACCACACAGCCCAAAGGCTTGCTCACACTCACCACCAGAGATACAACCAGGGAAGACGAAAGGGCGACAACCAACTAACCCTCACACTCAGAACCCAGACCCCAGCCCAGAAGTCCCACCGGAGGAGTAATAACCCACCACACTACCAGACTAGAGTGAAGACCCCCATAGGAACCCCAAGGTCTCACCGGAGCAAAGCCGGAGCTAAAGCTCAGAAGAAACCGACACTCTCTCACTCTAGGTCTAGGGTAACAGAACGGGAGTGTCATCGGATAGAGAGAAGGTGGAAGGTCTGAAATAGGAGATTCCAGAAGAACCAGACATATATAAGAGAGGGCCACACGGGCATGGGCTGGGTATAAGACAAACGGATAAGGGAATGGGCTTGGTCGGGTATACAGCCCAATTGGGCCAGGGAAATAAATAGGAGACCAACTCCTTAAATGAGGTGGACCAAAGGCAACTCAGGGATGGCCCAGTGGAGGTGGACCAATACCACTACAATCTCCACCTTATTGGTCCCCCTGGTGGTGTAGAGCACAATGTGAAAGGGAGAGTCATCATCGCCGGTTTTTCTTGTTTTACAGTTCTTATCTAGCCACAATCTAAATTAAGAATACGTTTACAAGACAACGGTTTTTCAAAAGTGAGACATTTAGTCCCCATATCCGCAGGGTTAAATTAAGAAGGTATCTTGGACAGCTTTATCCAACCTGCATCCACAATATTTCTTATAAAATGAATCCTGGCATCAATGTGCTTGGTCCTGTCATGGAATACAGGATTCTTGCACAATTGGATAGCAGACTGGCTATCAGAGTAGACTGTCACAACCTGCTTAAGAAAACCAATTTCAGTTAGCATTCGTTTAAGCCAAATAGCCTCTTTAAAGGCCTCAGTGGCTGCCACGTATTCAGATTCAGTAGTGGACAGTGCAAACAATAGGTTGTAGTTGAGATTTCCAACTTATGCAGGAACCACAAAGAGTAAAAATGTAGGAAGTAGTAGACTTTCTATTGTCCCTATCATTTTCATAATTGGAGTCAACATAGCCAGTAAGTAAAATGCCAGTTTCAGTTTTAGAAAACACAAGTCCATGAGAAGATGTACCCCTAAGGTATCTAAGGAGCCATTTAAGGGCAGTCCAGTGAGACATACCAGGGTTTGCCATATATCTACTTAAGCAACTAACAGAATAAGCTATGTCAGGCCTTGTGCTTACCATGAGATACATGACTGACCCTATAGCACTGGAATAGGGTACAACCTTCATCCTATCTATCTCAGGAGCAGTCCTTGGGGACTGATCCTTGCTTAGCACAAAATGGGGTGCTAAGGGAACATTCACAGGTTGGGCAGAGTCAATTTTGAACTTTTTCAAGACCTTTTCTAGATAGGAGGTTTGGTTCAGGGTAAGGGTACACCTACTCCTATCCCTAAGTATATTAATCCCTAGGATTCTCTTAGCATCTCTAAGGTCTTTCATAACAAAGTTTTCACAAAGGCACTTTTGAACTATCTTAATAGCATTCACAGAGGGGCTAATGATAAGCATGTCATCAACATAGATCAACAAGAAAACAGGTACAGAGGCAGTATTCTTAAAATACAAACAAGGGTCAGAATCAGACCTTTTGAAGCTTAGGGAAGACATACAGTGATCAAACTTGATATTCCATTGTGTGGGAGACTGTTTCAGGCCATAGAGGGCCTTCCTAAGTAGACAGACATGTCTAGGGTACTTAGGGTCAACAAAACCCTCAGGTTGACTCATGAAAATCTGTTTATCTAGTTCACCATGCAGGAAAGCAGTGGTAACATCCATCTGCTTCATCTCCCAGTCATTATGGGCAACTAGGGCAAGCATCATCCTAATTGTTGTGAATTTTACTACGGGAGCAAAAATTTCAGCATAGTCTACCCCTTCCTTTTGAGTGAAACCTTTAGCCACTAACCTAGCTTTAAACCTAATGTCATTTGATTCTTCTTTAACTTTGAAAAGCCATTTGCACTCAACAACAGAACAATTAGGAGTCCTAGGAACTAGGGTCCAGGTTTTATTCAACTTAAGAGAATCTATCTCACTTTGCATAGCACATAGCCAATTTTTAGATTCTCTAGAGGCAAGGGCTTCCTGGTAGGTTTTAGGCTCATTCAACTCAAGAGTTTCAAAAACAGAGAAAGCAAATAATGAAGTATCATACATGTGAAATGCATAGTCAGTCATGCTATCAGAAATCTTCTTAATGTTTCTTCTAGTCCTATCTCTGGCTAGCACATAATCATCTAGACTTTCATTCTCAACTTGGATCTCTCCAAGTTCTTCATTATCAGCAAAATCAGATTGAACAATCACATCATGCAAATTTTCATCATTACCACTGGGCTGCTCCACCTCACTGGAGGTGGAGTGGGTGTCATGCATAGTGTTGGTCAAGTCTGGAGTAATGAACTCATTTAACAGAGGGGCAGCAGTGGTCTGGATAGGCTCCACCTCACTAGGAGAGGTGCCATCATGCACAGTTTGAGGGTCAGTCACATT